AAAAAAAAAAAAAAGACTTGAGGAATCAGAGAGAGAGTTTGGTCTTTACCACTTTCTAAATAAGAATAATAAATGGCAAAATATGCAAGGCTGGATTGTATTAGAGAATTCCCATAAATTATATACTACAGAGTTGGACATTAAGCTGTTAATACAAGAACGCTTTGGAGCATGGGTTTCCAATTTCTACTGTATGAATTTTTGTCAACACAGCTTCCTGTGGTCAGATGACTTATTCGGTCAGTGCTGGTCTTTTCTCCCCCAAAAATACTGAACTGTCAGGCAGAAACTCACACGCTGGTGTTCTGCTGAAAGGCTGCTCTAGAGAGCATTTGAGCGTTTTGCTTCTGAGCATACCTTTGTGATTTCTTACCTTATTTATCCTTGTGATCGCCTCACATTTTGTCACCAAAGATGTAGCCATGTAAGCCTTTAATTAAACACGTCAGCAGTCATGGAACAATTAAAGTAAGTTTTCATCAGAGACACTTGGTCTGCAGGGATGAGGAGTGGCACAGTAAGTGTGCTGTGTGCCAGCGCTTTATTTACAGAGGCCACGCTGAAAAAAACCAAGATCAAATCAATAGCGGTTTGCCTAAAGAAGGAGCTTTAATGCCTCATGGATTGAGACACTAAAGTCTTCTTCTTGCCTATTACTCTTAATACACAGCCACTGTCATGGGGCTTAATCAGAATTCATGGAGCCGCTAAACCAGGGGAAGATTATTGATCTTATTAAAGATGTAAGAGCACTGGTCTGAGAAGACAGGGCCTCCAGAGAAGCTCTGCCTCATTCTGCCTGCCTGGGGCTTCAGCACTGCCAGGACCCAGAGGCATTTTTCTTCTGTAGATAAGAATCTCAGAAGCCTGGGCACAACTGCCCCACACTGAGCATCTAAATCTCCTCACCTGTAGTTATGAACATGCCTTCCTGACCTTCACCAACAGTATTTTCATTAACTTTGAGGACTAGGTTCCTTCTGCTGTTAATCCTATGCGATGCCCCTGAAAACAAAAGAGCAGCATAGATGTACCTGGATGGGAATTCAAAAATTGCAGATTACAAAAATGTTACTGATGGCCTAATGTGATTACTGCTTCAATCACACTGCTAGCACACAGAGAAATAACCCAGGTATACCTCTGTGTCCTAGCTGTGTGGCTTCTGTTGTTGATGTTTCTTTTAATTTCCTGTACAAGCTCTGTTTAGTGTGCAAATTGCTTGCTATATTCATAGAAAATATTGAGTGATAGCAGTGGAACAGTGCTAATGAGTTTTAGATCAGTTGCCAAACTGAAAAAATTAAACTAAAATTCGTTTAGACTGACCCACAAAAAATGTTTTCCATTTTTCTCGATGTAAACAAAATGTGAGAAAGCTGTTCAGGGAACTGTTGAGTTCCTGAACTACTGATTGATCACCTGAGGCAAGGACTGAGTCAGCCACGGGAGCACAGGTGAAGGCAATTCATCTGTATGACTCCTAGACCCCATTTAAGAGCTGACTGCCACAGGGGAAGATTTTCTTTCAGGAGATCTTTCCCTTTGGAGTTTTTTTTACTGCAAGCCTAGGATATGGGTAAGCATTTCATTTTTGATTGTCTCTTTTCACCATGATAATCTTTCTAACTATAAAGCCTGTAAGATACCATTTTAGCCATGCTACTCTGTGAATTGTACATTTGTTAATTGTACAGCTGCAATTTGAGTATGTTTTTCCATTGGATGGGAAGTTAGATGTCTTACCTATGGGCTTGGCTCATAGAAACCTGGAGTCATGGGTTGTTGCTGCTGAGCAGCTGCATAGTCATCATTTAGTGAGGTTAAAAAATCTGGGGTGAATTCCTCTCCAGCCCGTGGAAGAACTGGAGAAGTTTTGGACAGCTTCCCCAGTCTCGGTGGGCAGGAGGGAGACAGTGTGTCCAGTAGTTTCTATACAAAGCAACAAACATTGGCTACAACCCCTTGCCTGTGCTGATCTCCTTGTGGTTTCCTCAGGCTCCTCCCAGCCTTCCTCCACAAGGTTCTGGGCAGTGACTGATGGCACACCAGTACCATGGCTGGGGAGCCCATCCAGGACAAACATGGCGATTAGAATGTTAATTTAGATATTAAATTAAAAATCTTAATTCCTGCAGTTCCACAAAGAGTGCAGTCTTGAATACACATCTCTCATGTTCTACATCAATCAATTGCCAAGTACTGTAGCCTTTCCTTTTCCTCCAGCCTTTCCTTTTCTTCCAGCTTTATCTATCTGAGGGAAAAGGTCAGGAGAAACATGGGCAGATCTGCTCCAGATTAAACCCAGTTAGCTAAACCCGGTTGTTCTGATAATTACTTCAGTCATCTGAAGCATTCACCCAGATTTGAGCTGAATGTCACAGCAATGTTCTTGCAGCACACCTGTGCAGGCAGGATCTTCAGGCTAAGCTGGAATTAGTTTTTATCTTTCCACAGCAGGTGAAAATTAAATCTTAAAACCAGAAAGGAGTAACACGAGTTTCTTGGGTAGCAACCACTCTTTGGATAATAGGTGACATGCATGATGTCAGAGCTTCTGCCAGATGTGGGAAAGACATTTTGGGTTCATTCCCATTGCTGAGTGCTAGGTGTGAGGAAGGGTCTGTGGGCTCTTTGCACAAAGAGCTTTTGCTGCATGGCACTCCGTCATGCTCCTTCCTTACATGGACCTAACTGCTGCTGCTAGTGATGTTTGTCTTAGAAGCCATGGTTTAGCAGAGCTGTTCAGTCCCACTGTGCCATTCAGGTGGTTGTGCAGTTCATCTACCGCTTGTATGCTTTGTACAAACCTAGATAGGTTTTCTGAAAACTCCGTTATGTGATCGCTGCATTCTCTCTGAAGGCATGTGAATTTGTAACGGTGTACTTTTATAATAAGTGCTTTACTTCTACAGATTTAGGTTTTCTTGTTCTGCTGAATCCTTTAATTAAAGCGCACCTAGGAAAGCTGGGATGTCAGCAGATGATGTTTGTTGGAAGTGCTGCTGTGTGCTCACGAGTATGCTGCAGAACTCGAGAGACAACGGTGCATTTCAGACAAGCCTAAATGTCTTCTAACTACTTGCTCTGTACTTTAATTTATGCTTCTTTCTGAACATGTCAAATTTTAGTTTATATGTAGGCTCATCCCTGTGCTTTTGTACCAAGTGTGCAAGCCACTGAGGCAAATGATGCACTCACTACAAGCTATAATTTAAAGGCAGGTGGGAAGTGCTTGAAATGCGTGTATCTTTGTAAGTTATTCCTAAAATGCTATTATTACCTGCAGTCTCTTTAGTTTCTGAACTAAATGTCCTTTCCTCCTCCCTAAGCCTTTTATCTGCTTCGAAAAAAAAAAAAAAAAATGGAGAGAGGATTTGTTTCAGATCTGGATTTTTGGGAAGCTTTAGCAGCTATTCATCTGCAGATGACCATTTTCAGTGAGTTGTGGCTATACTTGGCTTTCAAGAATCAAAGCTGGGTAATGCAGAAGAGACACCAGCAAAAACCAAGCTACTGATTTTCCATTTTTTCTTAACTGCAGGAATATCCGTGTTTTCTGTTTAGCCTGGTGCTGAGATCAAAGGATCCAAATGGTTGTGCGAGTGTGCTGCAGCTTCTGGATAAATTACTGAAAATGTTATTGTAAAAGCTAAACTGATGTGACCCTTGTTTTCATCAATCTTATATTTAATCTTTATATAGTGGCTTGTGTAGAAGGTTCTTGTACCGCTATCCTTGATACAAAGATAGCACCAATTAAAATTCTGCACTTATATACAGTTCTGCACATATAATAAAGTGTGATATTTTTAGTGTTGTTGAGCATTAGTGAACCTGTATATATGCAAAATGGCTATAAAACATTGAAATTTAAATTTAATAAACATAGGAAATTGTAAAAGAATTCTCATTTGGAAAGTTAACCACTTGGAAGAGGAATGGCTGTTTTACCTGGTAACTTGCATGGATGGAATATTCCAGCTTTTGGAAACACAGTGTAGATAAATTGAGCTCCTACATCTTTTCTACTCCCATGTGCCTAATCACTGGTGCTGCAAAAATTAAGCTGCAAGAATTTTGATTTATACACATGCAAGAATAATAAAGCAGATCTACAAATGATGTTTAAATACCCACTATGGGCTATCTATCAGACTGATATCAAGGAATAGGAGAAAAGCCTGGGAGCTGGGAAAACAGCAACAGCAGGAGTAGACTTCTACATGCATAAAATATGGGAATAAGAATTGTTGGGTTTTTTTAAATATTTGTAGTATCTGTTAATGTATACCATGGAGTAGCATCTTTGAAATCTGCCATCAACTTCACACCTCTGCCATCATCTTATCTGTGTTACCAGTTCTTGTTTTTCAAGAGAGGATCTTAGCAACAAATCTGTGTTCTTTTTTTCCTTTCAACCACTCTCCCACTTTTCCGTGTCTTGACAGTTCTTACCATGTTTTCATTTCACTCCTCCTCTGTATCAGTAACAGAATATTTTTCTATTTGCCATTTTCCCTTGTTCTTCACTTTCCTCTGTGGTGATCCCAGCATACATAGAAAGATGTCTGTTCCACCCATGTTTTTGAAATACACTTACTTTCATTTTTGCTTTGCGATTTTTTTTCTTCCCCTTGAATGTAACTTCTCAAATAGAGTAATGCACTGCCTGCAGCAATCACCTCAGATGGCTCCTTGCCAACTTCACCTTTTCTCAAGTCATCTTCAGTTTCTACTACGTATGCTCCATGCGGCCGTTCTGAGGTCACTATTAATGATGTGAACAAATCTCAGGACTTCTTGCCTGCAGCATTATTGATCCTACTGTAACTCTGAAATCTTGTCCTGTTTTAACGGAATCTTTTCTTGTTTTCTTTTCCAAATCATTGCAACTTCTTTAATCTTTCCTTCAGCAATGGATCTCCAGCCAAGGTTTCTCTTTCAAAAAAATCTCACCAGGCTCTATTTTACCTCCATTCACCGATTTGTGCGTTTTCTCAGGTGATTTCTTCTGATTACATTAACTCAGCTGTCACCTCTACAATACAAATCCTTGCTTTTCATTACACACACCTGGTTCCCCTTGAGACTGAAATGTTGAAGTCAAGATAACCTTCCTGAATTCTTGCTATGATTTTATCAGCCTATTTTTGTATCCTTTCCTGGCATTCCTCTCTCCTGTGACTCTGAATACAAATGGGAGCCATACAAATTAGGGCCCTCCGTTGGGCACCTGTTTGTAATCTTATCTTGTATTTCACTATGCAGTTCTTTGTTCTGAGCTGGCTATGCCATTTTCAGTTGCCCATGCATCCTCTCAGAAAGTGCTGCCATTCACTTTTTTCACGTTTTCTTCTTGCAAACTATACTCAAAACACGCTGTAAAAAAAAAAAAAAAAAAGCCAACAAAAACACTTCTCAGCTTTCCTACAAAGTTATCTCAAATCCTACCGCTTTCGTGAAGCGTTCAGGAAAACAAGAATTGATACTGTCCTGGGGCAATTTCAGTGGGGTATGTATTCTTTAACTTGTAGCTTTATAAATATGTTTTGTGATACATTTTTGCCTATAGAAATCTAGTCTATACTGAATATATACTCAACTTCATTCTTGCTTCCTTCTTTTTTTACTTTAGTTTCTCTTATAAATATTATAACCTCCTTTGCTTGAAGAATTGTGCTTTTTGGGTGTGTAGAACCATCAGAAAACCCTATAATACAACATAATAATAATTTTTTTTTTTTTTTAGCTGTACTCACAAGACATCATGAGATTTCCCCAAAAACCTTATCTTCTCAGACACCTGTAGCAGCATACACAAGAGTCAGCACTAAATGATGTAGCGGTAAAAAGTGAATTAAATTAAAACGTGATAATTTGAGGCATTAACACAGTGTGGCGTGCCAGCTCATCTCATTGCATTGAAATAATATGAAAATGTAGTGAGAAAAGAAAATGTGTGCAGTATTGCACAGTTTGGTCCAGAGAATCAGGGTGAACACCTGATCGGATTGACAAGATACTGAGGCAGATTCACACTGCTGCCGGCTAGAGCTCTGTGTATCATGAGAGTAAAAGGATATGGAGGGGCACTTAAGTTCTGTGTGTGTGTTACGGTGCCAGACATAGTAGTTTCATGATTAATCACTTGGTCACCAGCTGCTATGACAGTAAACAGGAAAAAGAGTTCAATTCCAGAAGGCTGGGGAATATTTTAAATTCAGTTTCTTAAAGGTGTGACAATCCCAGCCAGGTCGTGCCAGAATCAGCCTGTTCTAATTTTGTGTAAAACCAGTAACACAAGCCCACTGAATTGCATAATTTATAAATCACTTCAAGAGAGTTTGGTGTGAAAGGTGATATGAAAGTGGAGGTTGTTAGCCACCGCTGCAGCTGGCTGAGTGTCTTGTTTATTCTCTAGCCATATTCTGCGTCAGGAGCCTGTACCACAACTAATTAGCCATAATGCTTTATAATTGTATAAACAGAATATATAATAGATCTGTATGATATATAATTAATTTTGCCCTTAAGGAAAGCTTTTGGAAGTCAAACCATGAGCTCTTTGAGAATTGCTTCTTTATGCTCTTGCTGACAAGGCATATATCTCTGCTGGCAGAGCTCAGGGAACCTTCCAGAAAACAATTTCATTAGGCATGACCAGGTGTTTTTTTGCAGGAGTGAGTGCTTGCAGACACAACTCTGGCACTGAGGTGGCTGCAGCTGTGGCTGTGCCTGCCTTCGTGCAGCCAGCACTGAGAAGTGGGGCTTTTGTGCAGTGGTCAGTTTTTTAAAAAAAAAAAAAAAAAAAAAAAAAAAAAAGCTAACCTATGGTTGTCATAGAGGTGCTACTTATTTAAGCTTGTGTTTTGTTGTCCTTATTTTTTATTAGATTATTTTTCTGTGTGTGCGTGTGTATGTAGTAAATTCCAGGTTTAACTCCATTATTGCTATTGCAAATACTACCTCAGAAGCCCGAATTTTTTTTTTCCCTGGATTATAATGCATAAGTAAGAACAACCCAGTATAGTTGGAAAAATCACTGCTCTGATAGACTTGCTTATCTTTGCCACTGGAAAAAAATTAATAAAAAAAAAAAGACATGAAAGACTTCAGGAACTTCAGGAGTCCTGTTGGATCAGACCTGATCCAACTTTAAGTTTCCTTAAAGTGACACAGCAGGCAGCATCCATCTCTAAGACGTGCTCAAGCAGAGGAGCAAAGTACCACGTCACCTAGATGTGGGGACCAGAGCTGTGTGAAGACAAGGCTGCAGCTGGCAGCAGTATTCTAATAGAGCTGAGCTAGTCTGCTGAGAGATTTCATCAGTCCTTGTGTTCAGCCAAAGCTTCTCATTGCGAGATGCTGATCAGAGCCAGCCCAAGGTGGGGAACTCCTGTCTGCCTGGTACTCTGCCGACATTTGATCAGAGACAGCTTCACGTCGCACTCCATAGGAATGATAATCACACCCTTCCTGAGGCCTGACATGCCATGGGCAGTGTTATCTTTGCAAGGCTTTCTAGATCCTTCTCACTGATAAAGTTTCTGTACCTGAGAAGTATTTGGCAGAGCTGTCCTCATGCACACAAACAGAGGAGTTGACTCTTAACCTCAGACGCTTGGGATGGGAGTAGTCTGTGTCAGTTTGCATGCCCTCCAAAGCAACCCAACAGGTCATTTACGTTCCCCTTTCCCTGGGGAGCTTTGAGGTGGATTTATTAATTGGGTTCCAAATCTTTTGAGGTAGCTATTTTTGAGGTAACAAGATTTTTCTTCTTTCATTGCTTTCCCCCCAAATCCGTGTCTGAATTTAGATCTGCCTTCTGTTCCTTTGGGAGCTAGGAGTCACAGAATAAATCTTTTTCCTTCTCCCTTCTAAAATTGAGAGATAGCTTCTGTCGTCTGATGTAAACAACTTCATTTCTTACTCCCTTTCCCTGCACTTCATATGATGAATTATCACTTACCGCTCTTCACACAGATACATTTGTTGTTCACCACTACCTCTCACATACCAGAGACATTTCATTTGCTGGAAGAGCCAAAGCTGTAACTCAGTAGTGTAAGAGGAGGTCTTCCCCTTGAGATGTTTCATGCTGGGCTTACAATTGCTGAACAATTACATCAGACATTTCAGTTTCTGCATGATGACAGGGATTTCAACTGCTGATCTGAATGTAGTGGCTACATTCCCACCTGTGTCACAGTGCTTAGACTGTATTTCAAGTATCAGGGACCTTACGTGTGCCTACGTGGCTGGCCAGCCCAAGTTTCCACATGACAATCCTGGAAAGAACTTCTGAAAGTAATATGTGGGCTTTTTGTCATTTAAAGATATGAAGAATCTGAAGGAAATATCCAGATGCACATCATTGGGACAGTCCTGATTTCTCAAAGGAAAAAGCCCTCTTTCCGGGCAAATAACACATATAAATAGGTTTACCAATTAATGCTTTTATTTCCAAGAACTCATAAAATCTCAGATTACTCTTGAGAGTAATAAATACTTCAATAATGCTGTTCTTGATTACAGGCTGAGTGTAACAGCTCTGATTGGTAGTGATGTCATAATTATGTTTGATTACAGGCGTGTTCCTATTGTACTGATGCAGAGGGGTTATTTGTTTCCTTCTATCAGTGTCCTGGATTCCACTGGAGACCAAGGGCACGCTTTGGCAGCACACACGGCTTACAAAGCTACTCTCCTCAGAGCCTTGTCACTAAGGCACAGCTATTAATAGCTGGGCCAGCAAAACTTTACAGAATTGTGATTAAAGCTCCATGTAATTACATCAGT